AATACGATATAAAATCACTGTCGCTACATCTACTACCGTGGACCGAACAACATCCGTCTCGTGGCAGAGGCGGGAATGCCTCGCGTCTTATCGCAAGTTGTACCGCCGCCGCTCTACGCTCTCCTCTCCGGCGCTTGTTTGCTGTTTTCGGCCTCCTCCACATTTATAGGTTTGTAGAGCGGACACGCTCACCTTCAGTTATATTTTATCTTCCAAACTTTGTATTTTTGTATTAAGTACCGAAGTGATACATAGACATGATGGTATTGAGGCTATTAATAAATCATTAAGTTGTTCTTTCATACATATCGTGCATATGCTGAATCAAATGACCAGTCCAAATTAAGGTACATCTAGATAGATTAAGATACAGTTGCAATGGCGTGTGACGGAGGCGAGTTAGCCGCGGACACTTGCCCTTTACCAATCATCAAGTGTTGCTCAACCTCTGCAAATATCAGTTTCCCACGCACGAGACACGCAGCGGTCAATGAACTCTCGCTTCTGCAATTTCCCAGATTTATACCTTCACTTTTATTGACTTAGAATACTATATGAATAAAAATAGTTTAAGCCAGTAAATAGCATATAAATTAGCCGTGAAGTAGTTTCTATGTCTATTTTAGATTTTTTATTTTTAAAAATTTACGATAGAGATTTCTTCCTTCATCAGTACTGTTATTAATATGCTCGTAAATTGTATAACTTAACTATCTTGCAACAAAATAAGTTAGCTCACAACGAAGTTTATGAACGAGGTTTTTAAAGTAAAAATAAAAAAAAATCCCATAAAATGCTTCAGTGTACGGCTTTACAGCACTCAGAGAGGTTGACTATACAAATACGTCTAAGGGAATTATTTGATATGAAAATTGCAAACTCTAAAAATACTTTTTGGATGGTAAATTGAAATGTAAAATAGACTGCAATTTTACAGGAATTTTATATTGCTTTTTAAACAAGACTTATAAAGCGGAAAAATGTAAATATTTTAAATGTGAAATCGGCATTGATGAAAGAGTCAACATCTGAATCGCTGAAACAAATCGACTGCCGGCTTATTTTGTATGTGTACACAAACTGTTTGTGTGACAACTGCGCGCTGCCCGCTGCCGCTCGCACTCACAATATGAAAACATTGAAATTTGAAAAAAATTGAAATGAAAACATTGAAATTTGAAAAAAATTGAAATGAAAACATTGAAATTACAATACATTTTAAAGTTCAAAGTTAAAGTAAACTAAGACTACAGTAACAAATTTAATCTGTCTGTGATAACTGTTATTCTAATAGTTTTTTTTTAAATTATTTTTTTATAATCAACAATTAACTAGTGTACATATGTCAGTGTAAAATACGACCACTTATTCGACACTACCAAGTATTGCTTGCAAGCACGATGCTCGAACGAATGTACAGATAGCCGCGGAGAATTGCATCAATTTGCCGTCTGCTAGTTCTGCGTAATACAAATTGTCGTTGGCAATTACAGGAAAACCACAAGTACATTGCGAAACTCGCCGCGGATGGCGCGCCGCTAGATGTCGCCTTACTCGCGTATGGAGTCGCAAATGTTGCCGCTGCGGTCTGATGCCTTTCCTGAAGCCATCGGATTCCATTTCAAATAATCTGCAAACATCATTGATAATTCTCACGATTTAATATTCAAATACCTGTTTACTTAAGTATGTAATGGGTGTTCAAAAATGGCTGAGACCGTCGGTTTTTGACCGTCTTCTAGGCAATTTTTTTTTCTGATTCTTTAATCGCATTTCCGGATTCGGAGGATTATATGGTATAGATTTAAAGTCGTAAAAGTGTCTTTGACGTGACGCAGGTATGGAGTAGGTAAATATTTTGCCTATGTTCGTACCACAGTCAGTGCGTTGAGATTTTAAGACTATCAATCGACTTCACATCAGATTTACACGTATTTTAGTTTTACATGCGGATTTTAACTATTTAAGTTTTATTAACTACATACATATTTATTTTATATTGCTTAACGTTGTAATACTAACTGCCGTATTACATTAATAAACTCTAGTCCCAAATATCGCCTGGGTCAGTATTAAATTCAGTTCTCGAGACGAGAAGTAAACTAGGAAGTGAGGATGGCCAGGGGAGGGGAGTTAGAGTGTTGGCGCGTCTCGTTTCCTTCTCCTAATGAAATTTGTCCGTTGCATTATGATATTATCTTGGATAAATCTCAGACAAAAGGCTTTCGTTTGAACGTTTTAAATTAAATGCTGTATAGCGTCGCTTGGGAATTTCCGACTCGGATTCAACTTTAATCTGTATTGAATTTATTATTTTACCTTAGTTTGCAATAGAAGGATAAACTCATTAAATTTTTTAACACAACTAAAATAGGTATGTAGTATACGCAGTGTAATGTAAGTGCTCGGAGCAAGAACTTGGATAATTTAAGAGTGAATGTAAATGAAAAATTTAAGGTTTTAATTTCAACCCCATGTTGAAATATTTGCATAATAGTGAATGGTTTCACAAACATGAAAACATTAGTTTTAGAAAAGCCTTTAGAACTGAAGTACATTTGAGTCGTTCATTTTTATTAAGATTCAATCTAAGACAAAAATATTTGCTCTATACAGTTATAAAAGCTCTTTTTACGTGTTTTTGAGATGTTTAGAGTTTACCTAGAAATGTACGAGTAATACCTATTTTGGAGATGCACAACATTACAGATGCCGTTCGAACGAATGATCTCATCCTTTCAGTTCACTGAGCATTTCCCATTGCAAAGATATAGATGCGATGTGCCCGTACGCGAATACAACTCAGACATACATCTGTACATACACACAAACACGCACACTTACTATATTTCATTTTACCTGTATTAATACCGTCTTAAATTTCATTTTGTGATTTCTATCTTCAATGTCCAAGTCTATACTTCTATACTAATATTATAAAGAGGAAAGATTTGTATTTTTGTATGTATTGAAATAACTCAAAATCTACTGGGCCGATTACAAAAATTCTTTCACCATTATAAAGCTGCGTTATCGGTGAGTAACATAGGCTACTGTTTTATTTCACGTAGGCGAAGTCGCGAGCAACAGCGCTTTGAAAATAAAATTGCGATTAGCTTACAAATACGGTTCAAATCCGAACTTTATTAAGTGATTCTTCGTGCGACAAATCTAATGCTCTATTAAGTTTTTAAAGATATGTAACTCTGTTACTTATGTATAAAGTAGAGTTTTGTTTGTAGCGGAGGTAGGTCGGAGCCTGGCGCGCGGTGCCGGCCGGTACCAGGCGCGCAGGAATGCGCCGGAGTACAGTTACACTCAACTCGATTGTTGAATGCGTTCGCTAGAATCGTTTTGCCTGCAGTACACTCACTGCACAGATGTAGTACAGTGCAATACAACAGTACAGCAATCAGTAGTGTATAGTCACTTTTTCTAACCTCGACCTTGTAAATTACCGGGTTTTTTCGAATATATCTTTCGAACGGCTTTTACGTCGTCCAATCTTTACCGATTTTTTGTTGATAAACAAGTTGTAGACGTGAATTGTTTCGTCAATGTCATATTGTTTCTAGAAAAAAGATATTTAAAGTGTCTCCGACTGTGACAGCTACATAATTCTCGATTTTGTATAAGACATAGTATCTGTAGATTGCTGTGGGAGCGGAAATGATAATCGCGTAGAGACGCCACTGGAGCGAGGGAATAGGTTTCCGCGCGAGTGCATTACCACCGCTGTACCTACATACCTATCTATTTACCAACAAATGTATGTAGGTAACAGTGCACATGTACTGGAGGGCCTTAAGAAAACGGCGTCATGCAATTTGTTGTCACGGCAAAAAAAAATAACTTTCTTTATGACAATAAGATATTCATCACCTAACCTCACCACCAATACACTAATTCTTAATAAATTTATTCGTAAGAATATGTTTTTATTATTTACGTGTTTAATAATTGATGTTTCGACCTGTCCCTAAAGTAAGCCATCAATCTGTCATTACGTCGTACAAATACGACGTCATTTCGCGCATTATCTCATCAGACGGGTCCCTCGGGCGTCTTCATTATCTTACTAATTATGTTATTAGATTTTCCTATATACTACATATTAATAGCAACCTTTCCGTGCCGCAGTAATGGCGTCAGGTAACGTCGCGCGCCTCAACTCAAATATTTCATGTAATTTGCGATTTAGTTGACAGTAAGTCTGATCAAACAGTCTAACTTTGTCAAAGTTTCCTTACACTTATGTAAATCAAAAGTGTTATCATTTTGGTGTCTTAGAAAGTTTTCTCATTGCGTACAAGAAACATAACATTAATTAGTTACGTTTCTTATCATTTTATGGGTCAAGTTCAAATTTTGTAAGGAATAATTGACGAAGCGATAAATCGACAACTATTATTGGAAATGGAATTTAATTTCACGCGCAAATCTCTAAAGGGTCGGGCATTAGTCGTTCTGGAGCGCACACTGGAGGCTCTACAGCGTCGCTGTCGCGGAGAAATATCCTCTAATTGAAACGAATGGATCCACCGCCTCCATGTCACACCAATGAATTGAACCCTCGAATGCCAATCCCTGATATATCACAGTCCCGCGGGAGCACCCCCCGCACCCCCGCACCCCCGCCCACACTCAGCCGGCATAAATTATCCGGAGGGCGTTAATTAAATCCACCTTCACGTAACTCACCCTTCTTCATAAATACGTCGCGAAGGCTTTATCGGTTCGCGTCGGAGAAGTCGAGCTCATTGAGACATAGCTAAATATAATTCTATTAATTGATTTAACGAAAGGTAAAGTTTAACCTTATTGACAGCAACTAGGAAGAGCAATGCATAATAAATAATAATAACAACTAACGAAAACTACGGACTTTATTATCCTTTATGTATTCCAATTAAAAATTCTAACAAGAATCATATCAACAAAGACTACAAAGTTATATTCAGAAGTTTAGTTATGAGAAACCATGTTTCTAGAATGAATTTGGCAAAATGGACGCGACGTAGTTTCCATAACAAGCGGCCCGTGACTCAGCACTACGTCGTCAGCCGCCGACAGCCACCGACAGCCGCCGCGCAAAACTGACAACATAATATACAAATTGACAGATATAAATGAATATGTGTCTCAAAAGAAAAATAACATCACATGTTCAAAGTCTGTTACCTAAATGTCTCGGCCAGTTTACCTGATACCTGCTTAAGGATCGGCTTTTCACTGGACTCTAATCTGAAAATTTACCTGAAGATCTAAATTCATGATATGAACATCTCTATATTTATGTTTTGCAATTGTTAACGGTAAGAAGTCGCCTGTAATTGTGAGGGAATCAAATATATATAACATACGTACGTGAGCTATGTTAGGTAGAGAAGGACATCATGTTAACTCTGCAGGTGCGAGTGTGTCGCTGGTTGCTGCGCCCGGCCCCGCAAGCCGCGGGCTACTGTTAGGCCCATTACTGGTTCTCGTTAAAAATTGCTCCACGATTTTGTACCGACCTTATTTCTATTTTCGTCAGCGAAAAATGTAAAATTGCTCCGTAATCCCCCACACAGCCGCGGGTGGGGAATTAAATTATTATGTTTACGGTATTCTGTAATCTTTTCCCCTTTTTCGATTATAATTAGCTTTATGTATATAAATTTTATTCAATCTACTGATAAGTGTAAAGGTTTGATAATATATGTTATCAATTTTCAAATAACATTTTCTGTTATTTTTGTGTTAATAACAAAATCACGGCAGCAACACGGGACAGATCTGCGCCATAACATTCCCGTCTTCATTACACAACAACACGGGATGTCGGGGTGCAGGAATTTTTCATTACCGACCTTTCCCTGTAAAATAAGTTAAAAATTTTGTTATTAAATGTCGCTCACATATCTTTGTAAAACATATCATTTTATTGTTTCAGGTATGCTAGAACGAAATCATAAACAATGCATTAGCTTGCATAAGGATTCGTTCTACGGTACGTTACACATTTGAGAATTACGAGTACTCCAATAGTGCTTTGATGATGTATAAATTCAATAAGCGTAGTGTTCTACTAACACTCTACACGTGCAGACCATTGTTACGAGTACAAAAGATATTTTTATTTAAATAACACACATTTATTTTGAAACTAGCTGGATATCTGTCAGTTATTTTATACATCTAATTTAGTTTATTTGCTTATATTAGCAGAACAATACCAATAAATTACAGAGGTAAAACAATTAATGAACATTATTTTAATTATTAATTAATAATATAAAATCGAATTTAAATTTACCTGAAATGAAACTGTAAATAATTAATTTAACAATTCTTTGGTAAACTACTCTAACGCAGTATTGATCAGTTATGGTGACTTAGTTGCGTGCGGGTCGGATGTAGCGACGCGAGACGTGGTGATAATATGCCGATTATTAGTGAAGTCAAAAGAAATATGTTCCGATGTTGATTGTGTATTTGCGGTGTACTAAAAAGTATAAAACCTAAAATTACGAGTTATTTTAGTTGGTATCATTCTTAATCACTGCTTAACATTTCAGTCACAATGACTATTGGATTATTTGCTGCATGTAGAAAAGGATTTTCTTACAATTTTTCCATTTAGTGAAGCCAGGCTTTATCTATGATTTGATATCTAACCCTTTCCGCCCGTGTGATGAAATGCGTACGCAGCGCCGAGTATTCCGTCTCACGGGAGTTACTCCGCGTCTTACAATTTAGGAAATCACTGTTGAAGAAAAACGATAACAAGTGAACCGGAAAACTAATTATAAATACGTTTAAAGTAAACAATTATACAAAGAGTATATTTTTATAGTTTTAGGTAAACATTAATCAACTTATTTTCCTTTATTTTAATAGTAAATACTTCTGATAAACAAAATGCGCCGCCGCGTGGAAATATGAATGTTTGAAGTAATTTGAAAATACAACGTCTGAATTCCAAACGGGAATGTGCAGGAATTTCAAAGTGTTATAACCTCAACTAACAACAGCAATCTGCAAGTGAAATCTGCACGATGGCGAACTGATCGTTTAGGACGGGGACATTACTGAAACGATTATGGCGACGTTGTCTCCAATCAAATGGCGATGGGACCTCTCCAGAGCCTGCCCTCATTCCCCAGTTCCAATCCCTACACGTCTCAACGCATCACTGCACCGGAACAGCGCACTATATGACATTTTTTTTAATTCCGTAGACTTTTACTTTATAACATCTGTTGCATTGCAGAATCAACAGATTAATGAAGCACTAAGTACTCGTATAGATTTAATATAACATAAGAGTTACTTGACAAAGTTGAAGTAAATTAAATTATGCTTACGAATTAGGCAGATGATTAAAAATGAAACATTCCGAATATTGTATCGTCATTTAACAATGATGTATTTCATAGGACAAATGTTTGGTATGAGTGGTGTGGGCCGAGGCCGGGCAGGTCGCGGCATGTGCTTCGCTCGGGACTGTCTAATGGCGGTCGTACGTCACTGCGTTCTTTATGTCAGACTATTTGCCAAGATCCGGCTCACAAAGACCAAAATTTGTGGTTAGGCTAATAAGTACAGAAGACCGCTCACTTCGCTAATAAAACATCTTTATTGCTCTAACATTAACTTATATAAAAATTGAAATCGGAAAGGTTTCATGTAGTCTGTATATCTTCTTAAATTAAGCTTCAGAACATATATAATTATTTTAGGTAAATTTATAAAAACCCTTTACTCTGATGTAATCTATTTTAATATAATAACGAAAAAGTGCGGAAACTTCAAAAGGAAGTGGAACAAACAAAAAGTAACTATAAAGAAGAAGGAAACCCTTTGCTCGAAATGTAAGGAAATAGAAACAAAGATAAAAGGGAATTCAATTATTAATTAATGAACTTTGCAAGCGTTCAGTCGCCGCTCGCTGTTACAATTAATTTTTTTTTTGTCTAAATTACACTTTCAATAGAATTATCACAACTGTCCACCCTCAAGTCATTTACACTTTGAGGAAACTCTATCCTGAAACACGATTTTTTTTTGTGACTGAATGGCCACTGTTTGCTTTGAAGAGGCATTTACAGATTCACCGGGCTTGAGGTGGCCGAGCGCAGATGGCGCTTAGCCTAAACCTCGTTTATGAGTAACTAAGCTCGAGGGCTCCCTCAGGAGCCTCGGGGGGAGCCGTTACTTTGTTATTACTACCGGATTGGGAGGCCACCGAGCTCTTTGAAACACGAGTTTTGCTTTTCAAATGCGACCTTTTGATCACTTTTGTATTCCACGTCTGTGGTAAACTCTTTCATAATGTTTGAATGAGCGGCATACAGTAATTATCGCGTACAAAGTAAGTGCGGTGAGTTACAATCAGACAGGCAGGTGCAGTGCGATCTATTGAATGTATCATATGTAACGAGTGGCCCTGTCTCCCCGCTGTACCCGGCACAGAGCGCAGAGCAGTGCGCGTCATATCACCTGCTTTATTGTTTCCAGCGCCAGCGCTAATGGAATCCAAAGCGAATATACTAAAGGAATCTATTCCTTTTGAAAGCTCGTATGTTTTTATTTTGTTTCGCCTTTCTTTTTATAATTGCAATATTTCTCTTCGATTTCTTCGTTGTCTGTAACTTGTATTATTGTATAAACTCTTTTTTGTTATTAAATAGCACAAAAGTGTTGATAAATTCACAGCAACAATTTACACAGGTGACATTGAGGTGACATTGAATGTGACAATGCGATGGCATGTATTTACACATTCATGCAAATTAAGACAAGCAATTGAGCTAAAAATACCAACGGTTGTGATCATGTTGGTGTTATTATTACGTTGCTGCCGGAAGTCGGAAATGGCGGATAAACCATGTTGTTATGATTTAATTCGTCATTGACGTGTTGCAATAATGACAGCCTCTTCATTCTTTACAAGGATAAATAAACATATAACTAATTCTGAATATTAGATTTTTTTTATGTCAATCTGTAAATAAATATAATAAACAAAAACTTAAATATGTCACTCGGATTCTCTTATTTTCACAAAATCCATACGACATCGAAAACGAGAACACGTTGTTTTTAATCAAAGCGTATTCTTTTTCGCCATTGTCAGAACAGCCTGTATTTATCGCGTCATGTTATTATCAGTAAAACAATGGATTGTAATAAAAGTAGTAATAGTGTCATTTAACGGAATGTATGCAAAATATCATATAAAAATGTAATAGTTTAAACATGCTTTAAATATAACTAACTCATTTAAGTGTACATATATAGTAGGTTGTCGACCGTGTCCGCTCTTGCTGCTTGTTCTAACCAGACGAGAAGCGCCACTTTGCGAGGTTTTCAATTACCCTCTAACATATAAAATTGTTAAGTATTTATTAACTTTGCACATAGAAACACTTTATGAAGCTCGAGTCCTTTTGTCCGCGGCGAGACCGGCTAGCTTACGGCTTAAGCTAAAATTATGTTCCGTTGGAGGCTGCAGCGGGGTCGTGTTTTTAATATTCGAAGGCTAATCCGCTAAGCCTTTCTTTGTTGCCCTGAACTCCTCCCTCCTGTATCCGCACCCCTGTACACGCTCCTGCTTATATCTAGCTTTAATACCCTACTTAAATTCTTAAATTAAAACTTTTAAAAATCATAAACATGAACCGCGCGTTAGTAGTTTATGTTTGAAGGAAGTTCTTATAAAGTGAAATGGAGTAAAATTTAAAATAAGTTTTCAAGATAATTAATTCTATAACGTCTAAGTAATACTGAGAAGAATTAAGTTTAAAAAAAGTCAAGAGCAAACATTGACTATGTTTCTTTTAGGATAGCGGATGTTTTTACACGATTGAAAATGTAATTTAGGTCAAAGAGGTCAGATCTCGACGCTGCAAAGACAACAAGAACAACAAACTTCAGACAACAATTTACACAACACTAACATATAATTTAAAAGTCGTTTGGAGCCGAAGTTAGTGTCGAAATCTTGTACTAAATGAACGCATCTCAAAACACTGATGTAAACTTCGATTAACTTCACCGTAGTTATTTCCTAAGAGCATATCCAATTATGAGCATTTTTATTGATGGAGAAGTATAAGAAATGTGTTAGAACGGTGCTAAATAGAAAACCTTAATATGAAGAGTAAAATGACAAAATTTAGAAGACATTGAGAAATGACGAAATGATGAATTCTGTATCATAAGATTCTCTGTTACAATTATTTATGGCAGTACGTTATTACACAAGCAGCCTCCCGCAGCGTCACCTGCGCCTCTAATTACGAGTCCTGCGGACCGACTGCTGACTGCCGGCAATCATGCACATCTTTATTTTCACCCTTTATTTATCTCACTTTCATCGCAGAATTTTCTATACTTTAGTATAAATGGGTTTCTCATAGTAAGAGGAGCAGGCTGTTAAATTTTACGAGACCTCGACCTCAAGATCTCATTTAGGATCGAACAAAGAGTTTCCGTTGGTTATTTTTTATATTATATTGGTTATATTTATCGCTTCAATAGTTACGAATACTGTTATTAAATGCTCACTACTATATTGTAAGTAAAATGTATCGCCAAAACTAGGTATCGACACAATGGTTCAAGTAGTAGTGACATTTACACAGTTTAAAATTAGATCAGAGCAATAAAGAGAGAGATAAAACTCGTCGATCTAATCATGCTTCTAATTTAATTATGTTAACTTTGTAATAATTACGAAGGACACGAAAAATAAGAAGATATCACATTGTTTAGGTATATGTTGATTTAAGTACATTTTTTCCTTCCTTGAATTTTATCAGATTGTGTTCAAGCAATCTTGTTTCTTACTAACCTGTAATTCAGTTTTAAATCCCCTGACCGCTGGCCGAACTCCCCGATGTCTGTGGCTGTCTACCTTTTTGTTCATCCACTCTGTAAGTTCGCAAATAAAATTAATGGTATGAAAATATATGCAAGTTGTTTGTATAGAGTTAGCGCCGCATCGACTCGCTGCTACGTTTGCCTCGGCCCTCCATTGTACCGTACGGTACGACCTTGTATTTATTTTTTTACCTCTTGTTAATTATAACGATTATAACAAATTTGATCCAAATGGAATATAAACTTAACCACATGTAGGTGAGGAAACAATGTTACATCGTAGGAAAAAACTTTATGTTACAAACTACATTTATTTTACAGCGTAAAATGAACACTTTGACACAATTGTTTAAAATCTATTAATTTGTCAATGGAACACGAAGCTCTGCCGACATTTGACGTAAGCGTAGGTATTACGGGCACGCGCATTCTCTATTCAATCTCAGACGGATGGCAATTTCATTTGGTCCCCTCGTCCCCTGTGTCCCCGCGCCTCGTGCTGCAGGCTGCAGACTGCAGGCTGCCTGCATTTGCATTTAATTCGCACCTCCTCCGACGCCAACAGCTCCGAACACTTGAGACCAACGAAACTATTCACCATGCAAACTTTGTTACCTCTTCTTGTCATATTGTTACAATCACTAAATTGTCTTCCTAAAAATTAGTTATTTCATTAATCGTAATTTGCTTTTGTATTTATCAATTGCATAACTTTGTAATCTAAGAATGAAATCTTAACGAAATGATCCATTTTTTTAAAAAGAGCAAAAGCCACATTGTAGATCGATATAACTTACAAACAAGCTGCAGAGGTTAAGTCGCGCAGCTTAGCTTGAACTTAACGGGGAAGCAATTTGCGTGAGCTTAGCAGCGATGTTGCCGGCTTAGCGTGGCACGGAGCGTGGGGCGCGGGTTCAATGCCGGCAGGTAGAGCAAGTTATCTCACCACTTTGCACCTCACTTTACACTTTTAGAGGACTTGTTGTCGCAGATTACCTTTAAAAGTGGTCTGGGAATTCGAGAGGAGAGGATTTCTTAAATCTTATAAACAAGTTACATCTTGATTATCATTAACAAGAGGTTTACGTAAGTAATGAATCGACTAGTCTTGTGATTACAATTTCACTTTTCCATCGCGATTTAATTTTGCAATTCGTAAAATCTACTTATACTTAAGTTATCTGGTAATAACAGTTTTGAAATTCAATTTCTGAAAGATTCCAAATTTTTAAACTTTGTCCCCGCGCAGTAAAGTTCCACACGGTAGCAACTTTATTCCAAACTAGTACATACGTGGCGGAACTACGGCAGAGATCATTTGCCTGCCCGTCGCGTCTCCGTCGCGGTGTCGTTACGTCGCGATAAATAAATTGCTTCTAAAGAACAAATAACAACACCAACTTCAAACTATTGCCTTGCTGCTTGCACAGCGAGACTCGGCACCGGGCAGTTCGCACGATCATTGTCGCATTTTCCTTTTGATTTCTATTTCAATTTATTTATTTAATACAATGCTGGAAGTGTTCCTTTCAATTTTGTTTGAAAAATTTAAGATAACGCCATAGGTAATATTTCCTTATCTAGTCTAGTCACCTTCCAATAACAAGCGTCTGTTGAATGTCCTCCTCGCAATAACGCCGCTGCCTCCCCCGTCCCGCTGCAACGGTGTGTGCGTTATTAGAGACGTCACGGCAAATAATATAAGTTGTCAGTAGGAGTTGTGGAAACTTATTAATACAATTTGCAGCCGCCCGCCGCCGCCCGCCGCCGCTGTTGCAGACACGTGCGGAGCTTTGACAACGCGGCTTTCGTACTCTGCCTACCTATTATATACGTACTTATAAATTAGCGATATAAGTATTAAAATGCATGCAAAGACATGTCATTATTGTTGTAAGAAATATAATTCGTGTGTTTCATTAAAGTTGTGTTTATAAAAATTAATTGTAATGTGATTTTTACGTCTGTATACGCAATGTAAACACACGACTTGTATCTCGACATTGTCCGTTTCGTTGAAGGATTTTACGTAAAGGTATTTTTTAGCCTTTCGGGTCTTAGGTGTGTAGTCTCCGCCTCGCTGATTGTAAGGCGATCGCACTTTGAGCAATTTGTGTTAAGCTCACCGGAGCAGGGATCAAAGTGATACGCCGACATCGCCCAAGAGGTTGCAATCAACTTTTGAACCCTCCTAAAAATTACTTTATATAGCAAAGAAACGGGTCCTCGAGTGTAAAACCTAAGTAGTGTAATAAAAGGTGATTAAAAAACCTTTATTGTCAACTAAAACACTTTCTATTTATAAGACAAAATAGCCTTGTTTAATTCAACCATTGTCCTACTTTTCATCGAGACTTCAGGATATTCTGAGAACTCAAACGCTTGAATTCTTCCATAAACAACGTTTGATACAAAAGAACGTTTGTCTACAGATGTAAAGCAATAATTAAGCTAATATTTTCCTTCAACATTTACGTAATTATTATTGCAATTTATTGAGCCGGGTATATATTTTTAAATATGTAATATTGATGTCGCAATAGTGGGATAGCGAGCAACACGCCGCTTGGTTTTTTCATGCGTTAAATTAGCGGTCGCCCGCCGCGCCTGCTAATTAGCAATTGTTACAGTTGCCGAGCGGCGGGCGGCAGGCGGCGGGCGGCGAGCACCGGGTCACCGGGTCTCCGCACAACCACCTTATGATTTGCTTTCAAAGAATTTATGTGACTCGAACAACATACTACAATTACTTATTCATTGTTCAGTAAATGAATTATCAAAGTAATTCATTAATAAAATTAAATGACCACTAAAAAAAAGTTATTTTAAAATGTTACAACTTTAAAAAGAAGAGAATTTGTAAAACTGCTTTTTTCTTTTACACGTATAGTAACTAGGCAAGATATAGTTTTTCAAGTTCAATAGTTTATTTAGGTGATTTGAACGTTTGTGAAATGTTCCACATCAAACCTTTGTACTATTTACGATGCCACATAAATTTTCACTTAGGCAAAGCTGACGCTTTTTTGCATCCGTTAGCCGACGGAAGGGTAAGGGCTCTGAATATTGTTGAAAAGGGATGACATAACATTTCACTCGGCTCACTTTAATATTTACATAATACTATGCAATACACGTCATCAATCTCAAAGCTAACAAATCACCCAGTATTTTGTTACTCTACTGTCCTAAAAGTCTTTTAAACATTTCATATATATCATGTTATTGTTAAGTATCTTCTAGGTTTAAATATAATTTGTATATCGTAGTCTAAAAGGAAAAATAAGATAACCAAAGAAAGCCTGTATCTAGATTTTTAATGTATTCTGGCGGCGAAGCTTATGTTCATTTATTATTTGTGTGCATTCCGCACAGCGCCCTCTCGCGGTGTGCTTAGGCCGCTCATTACTGCCTTGTGCCGGCTCTAGCGGGTGAATTTTTCACGCCGAGCTCGGAGCCGACTTAAGTGGAGTTTATCTCTACTTTGTTACTTCTTAACACGAACTGATTAAGTTTTTAAATGAAGCCGCGTGTGGCCACGAAATATGCACGTTCTCGGACAAACAAGATAAAACGTATGTTAAGGATAAAATGTGAGAGTTGGTATATTGTAACAAGTTTCTTGAAAGTTTGCTAATAAAAATATACTTATACGTAAAAATAACAGATAACGTCGAAGGTTTAAGTTGTTTTAGTTCTCAGCTAGTTCCTCAAGCGCAAAAAATCCAAACGTTTCTTTGAGATCGTTACTTGAATTTCAATGCGAATAAACCCTTTCCTGGTCCGGACTCGGTATTGTTGGCGTCGATGTGAGAATCGTAATGAGTCCACTTGTGTTATTTACGGCCAGGGTCGGACTCCGACACCGGCGGCGGTTGTTTGTCGATAAACGTTTGACAGTTGTTAGTGGAATTTACTGCCTCAAAGGTGGAGTCCGGGGCCCTCGGCGCAGGGCCGGACTCGGCCGAGTTCCCTTCCTATCGCCGATGAACCGTTCGTTTTTGTTTACTTGTATCAAGATAGATGCGATATCCCAAAAGGTCTCGGATCACTGATTGCTTTTTAAAGTTAAGCTATTGAGGATGTTCAAGTTACATTTCATTGTTCTGTATCTTAGTAAGTTTTAAAACAGTTACTAAACAAACTGTTTCATTTAAATCAATACAGAGTATTATATACTTACTATAAGATTTACCAGTTCAATGTTAATGTTTTCCAGAGAAAAATAATGAGTGTATTTGAAAAAATCTTTTTCGCTCGTGTAATAAAATCACTTATTTCTTCTCAAAGTGCTTATTTATCTTTTATTGCACGTCTCTGAGCCAAGAGTATTTTCAATAAATTACGTACGCACTCAATGTTGATTGCTTTATATCTTACATTTTACGTCCATGTTAAAGTAACTATATATTGATCGGATAGAATAGAACTAGTTAGGAGGAAATATCATACATATATATATTATGATACTACACTATGCAACTCCAATAATCAGCGACATAATTCGTCCTTTCTGTGAAAGTAAGTTTAAGTTGGAAACGATTAAGCGATACATCATACAATATAAAACGTGGTGTAAGATTTGAGAGTGTCGGCGCGCAGTTTAGGCGCGGTAACGGCGCGTCATAATTTATTCCGAGCTGTGTTCCATCGCCGACTTAAAATGCTCCGTTGAGTTATGTGTTCCATAGCCTCAGACCCGGAATGTTCCTGTGATGAGTTATGAGTTCCACTGCCGACGCGGCGCGGATACGTTTCCACCGGCTGTACACAGACGGAGAGTTGTGCACATTTATATTAGATTCTATCGTTGTTATAATTTTATTATGACAATCAATCTCAAATTAAACTAATTCTATTTTTGTTAAGAAGGAATATTAATTGGCCGACTTCCAAAAAGAAGGAGGTACTCAATTCAACTATTAAATTAACATAGTTGACAGATAGTTAAAAACCTTTTCAAACACGTATGATAATATATCAGTACAGTAAAGCGTGATTACAACGTAAATATAAGTTACAGAGGCAA